AACAAGGAGCGACACCTGGGACGAGGCAGCATCCCATCCAGGGGGAGTAGCTGCAATACTTCTAGTTGCTTCATCCAGTGGAAACCCAGATAATCAGAGGCGGTCTGGGTCACTTTAGCCCTAATCCAGACTTTACCAGTTGTATGTTGTGATGTTTTAAATCATTTTTTGTGATGTAAGCTCTAGACCCTGTTTAGGTCTTACATTTTTGTTTTGTTTTCCTCAGCAGGAATTTTACCTTCTTTCAATTGTGGTCGAAAGAAACTAAAGTAATAGTTTCATGGCAACAGGCTGCCTCCGAGCTGTTCTGGTTTTAAAGAAGAACTGTTTAGGATGAGCATATGTCAACTGGTGAGTTTTATATATAATGTGTGTTTCCAGAAGATATCCATACCCACCCCAAGGAAGGTCATTAGAAATTCCAATGGGGAGGGGGGGGTCCAATGGGGAGGGGGGTCTCAAAGCCAAAATTTTTAAAGGAAAAGTATGAACTCAAGCTAAACTGGAAATTCCAGGGAGGTGAGGTGTGGTTCAAACCAAATAAAAACCTTCTGTGGGGTGGAGGGGGTATTGATATTTTCTGGAATCACACCATGTTGAATGGATTGTTTCTTTCATGGGGTGGATCCTCCCCTATGCAACCTATATGGGTATGTGCTGCCCCAGAGGGTATGGTTTGTGAACGTTTTTGGTCTGAGATAAGATATGCTTCTTAAAGGGATCTTCATGTAAGACCAAAATACCAGTATTGGACATAGGAATTATAATACCTGGTTTACATCAGTATTGCTGTAATCAAAATTGTAAAATCTAAGCAGCTTTCTCTAAAGCTGACTGGACGAAGTTCATGCAAATTTTCATGTGTCCAGACTACTTCTTCAAATTATGGTAGAAACCAGGAGCAATATTTTCACTCTATCAATGGCCTTTATTTGAAGTATTTAAAGCAACAAATGTAGAAGAATATTTCTGAACAGTTTACCGTGGTTTTAACTCCTTCTGTAAAGAGGTTATTGTGACTGCCATGCATGGTATACAGAAGCTCAGAACACTAGCATGGTGAACATAGAAAATTATCTTCAAAAATATATTGCCATAACTTTGTCACGTACAACTCTGTGACCTGACAATTTTGCCTTTAGTTGTTTCATTTGAGCTACCCTACCATCCATACTAATAAAATTACTGGTGTTTTACATTCAATTCAATTTAACCTAAGCAAAGAAATTGATTACCGTACGTGTACTGATGTCAATGCAAACCACCAGTATAGAGAAAGAAATGATGTAAAGAAAAGTCACTGGATAAAATGCATCAAATTTGGCTTTTGATCTTCCGGTACAGAGGTGGATCCAGGATTTTTTGATAGGGGGGGTCCCAGGGTTTTCCCGAAAATGTGAAGTAGATTGAAGGAAAATTTTCGGAAGTAGACGGCAGTAGTAAAGGCCCCCCCCCCCCCCCCCCCCCCCCCCCCCACAGAAAAAATGTTAGGCTCTGAAAAGTGCATTTTGGTGATGGTTTTGCTATGGATAATAGAGAAAGCAAAAAAACCCTAAGGTCTGATAGGGGGTCCGGACCCTCCCCGACCCTCCCCTTGTATCCGCCACTGCCCGGTATGAAAAAGATACAGATTTTAAAAGACCAATTCTGAAATAGAGTACAGATTTTAGAGGTGAGGTCAGAGATGAGGTCTGAAACAAGGGATGGAAAATCATATGTTTTGAAATTGGCCAAGGGTTTTCAGAACGAGTCATCACACCCTCACTAAAACTTCATTTTTTAATATTGTTTAATATGTCAGTGGCTGTCCTCTGATACTATAAATCGATCACACTTCTGCATTTATACATGGCGTATGTCATAAATTGTTCAAGGGAACCATAAGCGAAGCAAGTCGTTTTACTGCAAAGTTCATTAAACATGACACAAACATTAAAGTGTGCTAATAACATATTTTTAATATATTGTATTAAAAAAGTTTCACATGCATTGATAGAAGCCATCCATAGCGGGTAGCTCTGTAGATTCAAGAAAGTTCAATACAAAATGAAAACGCTATCATAAGATGACCTTGTCTATCTCTCACGAACTTTAACCTAGTGAGCCAGGTGAAGCGAGGCTGTTCGAATCAAATTAGTCTTCAGATGAAGAAAAACGAAATAGTTCTTGTTAAACTATTGCTGAGAGCCACTCAACGTGTACCCTAAACCACATGAACAGCAATGCACACAAAACAACACATAACAATGTTTCCTTTCAAAGGAAAGTTTCCATGATTACAACACTTTCTTGGTAATCCTCATTTCCTGTTGTCCCTGTGATGACGTCATCACAGCTTAATTCTCGAGAGGTCTCCCATATTTGGAACTCATCCCATACTTGAAACTCGTCTTCATCAGAGTCCCGGATGGGAGACAGGGGCGGCTGGGGCACCGCCTTGTTCATGTCATTCTGTGAGCGCACTCGACGCAGTTTTTTTCCGCCATGTTTTGGCGTTTTCCCTTGAATCACTGCTCTGTAGATCGTTCCAAAAGAAATTTGCCTTCTTTTCCATGGCTTGCACTTTCTCCTCAAGTGCCATTTTACGAATGCCGCATTCACTGTGAAGAGAAACGACGAAATATTGAGAAATGGTATCTATGTATCATGGAGTATAAAATATTGAGTGGACTTGAAAGTAATCAAGAACTATTGTAGCTTGTCAGATAAGCGTGAACACTTTGATTTACGCGCTTAGATTTCCTTTGCCAAAAAATTGGTCTATTTTGTTTCCTGTATTTATTTTATTGCTATTTTCGCAAAGCTTTTCTGCAAAAACAAAGTGTAAATTTGAGTTTCCCGATCATGTCAAAGTTAAATCAAAGTGTTCACACTTTTTTGATTCGCACCGTAAATTGCTTGTCTTTGGGTTTATTTTTTTCTGTTCGTCGAACGATGTAATAAAAATCATTTATTTTAGGAAATTGAACAATAAGAAGTAACTATTCCCACATGCAGTTTCAAGATATATACATATTGCATTATCTCGCTACACGGCTTATAGTCTTGATACATCACATAAGTAGTTTCTCGTACGTACTTCCAAAGGCAAAGAAACTCCCTTTACCGAGTATATGTATGTAAGTAGGGGTTAGAGCTAAACCATGTTGATTTGTTTTGAGTTTTCAGTTTTCAAGCCCTTCTAGGTTTATAGCTCTTCATACTCACATGATCTCAGACATGAGCATTTGGCGCTCTTCTAATGCTCTCCCCAGTCTACTCTCAGTCTGTTGTACTTGAGCCATCAGATGGCTTCTGGTGTTTTCTTGTCATCTCTTCTTTTTCTTCTGCAGCTCTTTGTCGCTGCTTGCATTCCTCTACAATGCTCCTGTGTGCAAACATTACAACAATTAACATGCTAATTTATTTGCTCGATTAACGGTTATTTTACGGCTTGTATGTGTGCAGAACACTTGTAGTAAAAGTACAAAGAACTGGGTTTTTTTAATGTCGAATCTTCTTAGTTGAAAAAATAAAAACGGAATGACCGAGCGATGATTCTTCCTTAAATTCTTTGACGAAGATAGAATGGCTACGCCCGACAGAACAGCGACATTGACGAGAAAATGCGCACTTTATTTTATTTTATTTATTTATTTATTTATTTTTTTTTTATACGCATTTTATTGAACAAAACATGTTTAATCACAGCTCCTACCTCGTTGTTTGAAGATCTTCTTCAATTATTCCGATCGTTTCATGCATATTTCTGAGTGCATTTTCCATTTGTTTTCTGTTGGTAAAAATACAACAACTGTTATCAGTCAACACAACAGCAACAAAGAACTGAAAGAAATGAACTTAACAAGCGTGTTTAACCGATTCTCACCTGGACTTTACTTTTCTTTGGCCTGAGCCAAAACAGTTTAAACGTCTGAAGAATCGTGAAAGACCCATTCTCGCAAATTTGAGAATAAAATATCAGCAGAAAATTAAACGCGCAACTTGCACAGAGTTCCTCAACTGAATGTGTCTACGTACGTTGAGTGGCTATTGTGATGTAACACGACACGCGCGCGCTCGCTCGTGCTCGCGCAAAGTCAAGGTGCTTGACATTTACGGAGAAAAAGCCGGTGTTTTTGGTTGAAAAACGAATAGAATCTTTCATCTCACTGAGTAATAGAAAATAAGAAACACCTTTTAGGTATTACAATTTTTCTCGCCTTTACCAAAACAACAGAATTATTCGACTAAAGTGTTTTTGTTCGCCAATAGTGACGGCGCGCGTGCTCTTCTGCTCGCAAAAGTGAACGCACTTGTCTTTTTCGGGAAAATCCGATGTTGACAAAAATCCAATTAATCTCTTCTTTACACTGATTAATCGGCCTCTGGATAAGTTTTCATTTTTTCTCATCAGGCCGTATTCACGATAGCGTATCAGTACAAATACTAATCGAGTTATTTATTTACTTTTATTTATTAATTGCTGTTAACATTTTAAGTAAATATTTTAAATATTTTAAGTAAATTGTACATAGAGTTTAGCTAGAGTTTATAGTTAACTACACCTCCTAGTATAGCGTAAGCTGTTTATTAGGAGTACTTCATTAAAGCATTAAAACTAACCCAAGTCAAACAGAAATTGCGATACAAACGTTTCCTGCTGTTCCTTACATGTAGCGCAAGTGTAACATGGATTGCCTTCCATATTCAGATCATGTTCACATTATATTTCATTTCGTCTTAACACTTGCTGAAACTATAGTTTGCTGCTTCGTTAGTGCTTTGTGTAACAAAATCTGCGTATCGACTACATTTTGTTTCGAGATGAATGATAAAAAATCTACAACAATTGCGTTTCCCGTCCCATCCTGCCACCGTAAACCCCCGTTATAAGCCCACCCAAATCCGAAGTTGTATAAGCCGAGGGCTTATAACCGGGATTTTACTGTATATTTTGTGACATATGTAATCGGGAAGAGGGCCGTAAAAATACCGTTTATAGGTCTGGTATAGCGTAAGGGAGACGCGGTGGCCTAATGATTAGCGCGTTGGACTCCGGATCGAGCGGTGCGGGTTCGAACCCCCCCCCCCCCCCCCCCCCTCCCTTGTACGGTCGTGGTGGTATGACAAAGGATGTACATCTGAGGGTTAACCTTCTCGTAATATCAATGCTATTCTTTGAGATTTGTGGCTTGGCTGAGCATGCCTGTTCTCGAATTGAAATATAAAAGTCCCTCCATGAACAAGCTTTTAGGCTGAAATTTTAGTGAACGTTAAGAAGATGTTGTCTTCGAATTTTTATCAAGTTACGGTATTTTATCTTACCTAAAATCCATAACATTCAGTTTTGTTTTCAAAGCAACCAATAAATGCATAAGTTGCTGAAAAAAAAATTTAAGTGGAAGTTAGAACGTACCGCCAGGGAACTGGTCGGCGTTGCTTTTCAGTGAACATGGCGTTTACAAGGAAATTCATTTAAATTGCAAATAATTTTTCACATTAATATTCAATTATTCATCTTTTTGCAGCACCTGTGCCACGAGGAAAGAGCAAGCGAACGCCGCTAAACAGCGTCGTTCTTTAGTAATTCTACCGCAAGAAATCGCTTCAAATTCAATGTTGTTAGCATCGAAAATCGTCCATATCTTCATGGTAGACGTCCTTTGATGCGAGGCTTAAACAAAGAGCGTAGAGCCATTGCTTTGACGAGAACCTTGCCTTGAAACGCCATGGCCGAAGACACGGACATTCGACGTTCGTTATATGGTTCGTCCTGAGACGTCCTGAGAGGTAATCAAGCTAAACTGCTTTCGTCTTTGTTGTAGTTGCCTTGGGAAAGTATACTGTTAAAAATTTCTATATAGGAAAGGTATTTTACATGTCCACAGCTATTTTTAGTAAACATAATTAACGGATGTGCTCGACTTATTAACACGCATAAAATTAACTTTGGACAGTCCTTTTTTTTTTTTTTTTTTTTTTTTTTTTTTTTTTTGACAGTCCTGATCACTACAAAATGACTTGGAAGTTGAGAATTAACCTTTTGATAATGAAAACGAACTGTTTACAAGCCTCTTTAGAAAATATGTTCTAGTGGGGGAGGTGTGAAGTTACTTTATTTTTATTTGCCTTTAGTTATTTTATGGACAGGGTGCGTTACTTTACCCTCCACTTCCTGAGGAACTGATCACTGAGGAAAAATCACTGACCACTGAGGGAAAATTGCAAATCTATGATTTACTTTTTTGAAATCTATTATTTACTAGCAGTATGTAATACAGTGGAACCTCCATTAAGGGTGTCCCAAAGTAGAGGTTCTACTGTATACAGTTATTCTGTTATAGTCTTATATGTAACCATACGGCATTTTTCGTCACTAGGCAAAAGGCTGATCCGAGACGATGTCACATGACTGGAGAAGGTTCCCTTGATTGACATGGACAGAAAGACAGTTGGATAATGATGTTCCACAAACCACAGGTTAGTGTTTGTGTGTTATGAATATTCCCACTATCTTTCCAAGGGTTCTATTGCAGTTAGCAGTTTTCCCCCTTTTTTTTGGGGGGGGGGGGGGGCATAAATATGAAGGGGACTTTTTCCAATTCGTAAATCAGCTCGCGCACGTCCAAATGGACTGTAGCTTTTGTAGTTTATTTCTGTTCAGTGGCACATCTCCACAAGAGTAACAATGAACGTACCTCAAAATAATTGTATTCCTGTTCATAAATTATCTTGTGAACGGGAGAGAGGGCTTAATGGAATAATGGAACATGGAGAGGGGGCGTATTAAAGGAATTCTCCATTATTGGAACAAGTTGGTATTAAATTGGTGGGAAAATAGTATAAATAGATATGTTTTTCAAAATGAAATCAAATTGTTTTCTCAATTGTGGCAGCCAAATGTTCATATCATCCAAAGCGGCAACGCGCATGAATGTAAGGCTCAAAAGTGCTGATATTTTGTGACATGTTTTTGCACATCTGAAACTCGGTGTTTCCATGGCAACAACGTTTTGACAAGTATGCATGTTTATCCGGTGTTTTCTCTGTTTCTATTTCATATTTCTTGCAGTAGATCTACGCTTTTATTCCAACTTAGCATCCTTCTATTAATTTTAATTAATTTCGAGTCCATTAAGGCGATTTCTGACATCACGGACATATAATGAGATTCAAAATGACGGATCCAACATGGCGGATCCAACATGGCGGATCCAGTAATTATGGTTGCAAGACCAAAACAGCCGGGTCAATATTCCATTCCTTGACTTATTCTGGCAAATTTAAAATGTTTCTATTGAATATAACCTACCCTAACAAATTTACTGTTCTGTTTTGTTTTTATATCACTATATTTAATCACAGACAGGCATTTTTTCTCGGTATGTATTCACATAGTACTTATCTCTCTCCAGGATAATATCAAGCATAGAATGAGAAAAGCTGGAAATCTACAAACACTACTTAGAAGAGAAGAACAACTCCAGGATGATTTCAGGATGACGTTTGCAAATGAGGTAGGTTGATTTTCAGTTAAACACGCTAAGCTAGCTGCAAGGTCAGACCCAGGTTGTTAGAAAGCGGACGTGGAAGTAAGATTTCGAAACAATTTGTAGAACAAGAGTTTCGACAGGACTCTGAATTCTGAAGATGTTTAACAACACGAGAAGACGTATCCGAAGATAGATCGTGCAATATTCTCCTAACTTTACGTGTGACGCTGACAAAATCGATCGAAATTCAAACTCATTCACGATCAGATCAACATTCGCTGTATTTGAAGAATATATGTTGACCAATTATATTATTTTATGTTCACAGTGGATTTCAAATTTGTAAAGGAATGCAGTAATTTGATAAGCAAAATAAGATGGATTTTGTCACAATAATAAGTAGCGTGCGTGTTTTCGCCGACGCAAGCCCCGAGAAATTCAAATTTAAAGTACACAATTTTACCAATTATCTTTTCTAAATGTTTCAATTTACATCTTACAGAAGACAAAAACGGGCAGGAAATTTTTGAATTTGTTAGATTTTATGTTCACGGAGGATTTGAAATTTGTAAAGGAGCACTGATTATATTATGCAAAGCTCTAGCCTCCACGTGCAAAACTAAAATGGAAATTAGATCGCGTCGAAGATCTTCGTGTTTTGAAAACAGCAGTGCTAGCGGCATTATTAATCCCGTATTTGTTAGTTTTGATGTATTTAGTTAATCATGGTCACCATATGATTGCTTGTTGCTTCGTTTTAGTCGTTTTATTAGTTGTTCACGCACTAGATTCGCCTCTAATGTCTGACTTTAGCAGTTGAATTATTTAATACAGTGTTTCGTACTAGCTAGCCGCTAGTTCTTCGATGACAATATTTTTCTCTCTTCTGGCTTAATCTCGCGGAGTTTATGCGCCTAAAAAGCCAAAAGACGAGTTGATTAATGTTAAAAGTAGCGACTTTCAGTATGATTGCAATTATTGATTTGTGTTTATTTATTTTCTTGCAGTTTGCTGGAGGCCTTTGATGCGCATATGCTGTCAAAATCAATGAAGTGAAGACAGCCATTCAAGGAAAGACAAGTTTAATCAGGGACAAGTCAAGTAAAAGGAGCAATGGTTTAATCAGAGGTACAAAACAAACTTGACGAATTTCTTCAAGATTTCTAAGAAAGGATCGCCGCTGAAGTTTATTTTTGAAGACCACTCGATGCTGAGTGCAGACTTTTTTTCGTTAATCAAGGACAATATTTGGAGCCATTTCTAGTTGTTTGTGAAAACAGAATTTCAGCTGAAGAAATTTATTGCTAGAATTAAGCCAATTTTCATAGCTACTGTTATGTCAAATTTTTTCGTTCTAGTTGTTTTGTTGTTAACATCGGTTTAAACCGTTTAAATTTTCCCGCCAAAAGACTTAGAAAAAATACGGCGCCCAAAATACGCATGCGCCAATTTTTTTTTTTCATTTTTAATAAAATTAATATTTGCCAATAAAGTTTATTTCCTGTTTGTGTATCTCATTTATATTGTTGTAATTAATAATAAGTAAAGTAAACAAAACACAAAGTAATTAATAGTTCTTTGTAATCTTTATTATCTTTTAATACAATATTTCAATCAATAAAAACAAACAACATTCAAGTGTCTCAATTAGTTTTATTGTTTATTGTCTTTAATTAGTTAATTAAAATTCGGTTTAATTAATAAAAAGGTGTCCAGAAAATCTTCCAAAAAACTGTACTAAGCCTTTTGGCGGGAAAATTAATTTTTTTTGCACAGCGTTTCCCCTGGCAACATTCTTGACAAAAAATTCAAAATGGCTTCCCTAATAATTCTTCCGCCACAAAAATATCAACAACACCTCGTGCAAGAAATTGAAAAAATTACGTCCAATTCTGTCTTAACTTTTAAAAGCCGATTATTTTTCAAGCCAGATTCTTCCTCCCCGCGAAACATTTTAGAATTTGAAAGTTCTTGCACGAGATGTTGTATACACATTACATTAAAAGACCTTGTTCAGCCGTCAAATATTTTGTAACACAGGACAAATTATTCACGAAAGCGTCCGAAAATCTTTCCGAGAACTAACACTAGACTTAAAAGATTATTGGAGCATAATACTGTTTTTTTTTAGCCCACAAGAGCTCAGAAATATAACAATTGCTTGGCTCCATGTTCATTTAATAATTCTTGTGATAACATTTTACCCGAGTTCAAGTTTATTTTCAAACATAAATTCAATAATTCACAAATCCGATCAACGTATCCCAATTGCATTTCTCGTATTTCCTATTACTGCTTTGTACATGTCCTGTGTTACATCAAGTGCCGGCAGATGAAGGTCTTTTTCTACTTAACAAGTAAATAAATATTTGAAAACCCAATGCCTGGCCCAAGGAACAGAATCTTGAGCGTTGTTTACGAGTTTAGTCCCACCCTCAACACGAATTATTGCATATAATTGCACAACATGCACGCGCGAAAATGCATGAATAAAATAAAAGTTATATACAGACCACAAATGACATGGAAATAAGTATTAAATGCTTCGTTCAATTAGTCCACGGCAATTTTCCTCTATATTTCATTTTCATTTTTTGCGCT